TGTGGCAATGCATTAGACGTAGGGTCTCTGATTTTGCACTGTCTCCCCAGCACCAGAGAAACAGGAAATGCTTCGTGATTGAATCGAATTAACTTAAAACACAAAACCCTTCATAGTCTGCTTCCAGCATACGTCTTAGCCTCTTGCCTTAAGCCTAGACTCTAGCTCATCTCTAGCCTTGATTAACTATTAGGATGGCCAAAATATTCATTCTTTTTTTCCCCATAAGATGGCTCTAGTAGCGTCAGTTGTCTTTGACTTCATTCGAAACAGCCTTCTTTGTTAGATTGTATTGTGACAGCTGTTATATCAGTGTGCATTTAGGAAAACCTTATCAAAATTGGTGGATTTTTGTGTAGCCATTCTAATACTGAGGATGGAAGAATGTATGCAACATTTTTAGCACATTATGCTTTATTATTTCAAGAAAGCTAAAAACACAACTGAAATGCAAAAAAAAAAAAAGATTTGTGCAGTGTGTGGAGAATGTTCTGTGACCAACTGAAAGTGTCAAAAGTGGTTTGTGAAGTTTTATACTGGAGATTTCTCGCAATGCTCCACAGTCAGGTAGACCAGTTGAAGCTGACAGTGATCAAATTGAGACATTAATTGAGAACAGTCAATGTTATGCCATGTGGGAGACAGCTGACATACTCAGCATATCCAAATCAATGAAGTTATTGGTGAAAATGAAAAATGTGTCATTTATTTTGTGGAAAAAAACATACAGACTTTTTGACCAACTCAATACCTAGAATAATAGCAATATTAATAATTATCATTTATTGTTTGAGTTGTGCCAGGCATTGGTCTACATGTTTTTCCTGTGGGCACTGGTCTAAGTGTTTTACCTGGTAGAACCTTATAGGTGCCAGGCATAGGTCTAAGTGTTTTACTTCATGTAACCTAATCACATGGGTATAATCCCCTATATCTGATAAGGAAACTAGACTGAAGGTCGCATCTCCAGCAAGTGGTGGAGCCAGGATTTGAAGCCAGGCCATCTGCCCATACCGTCACCCCTTCCCGGCCACCCCCCAGTGCCTCTGTTTCAGAGGCAGACTTCTTTCCAATCACCTGGGTTGTACTGGAATCCATTTGTCCAATTCCTAGCTCTAGCACACTCACTTGCCCTTTCAAGTCCAGCCTGGATATTATGTCCCTGGCCAAATCTGCCTTTCCAGCCAGAGAAGGAGGCTGCGCATCTCTCTTCTTTGCTCCAGTTATTAGTTGCTCCCAACCATGTGAGGGCTCTCCTGAAGCAGGAATCACGTCTTGTGCCTCAGAATTCCCAGTTCTCAGCACAGTGCTTATATGTGGAAGGTCCTTCATTCATGTTTGTTGAATGAATAACCGACCTCACTATTTGACACACAGGGAAATGACTTCAGAGAGGCGGAAGGACCTGTCAGCATCACAAACTGAGTGAGAGAAAGAGTCAAGGCCAGACCCCAGCATTCCTGACTCTCAGCTCTGCTCTCTCATACACTCACCCTACAGAGGAACTCCTTTGAGAGCACTGGTGACAGAGTTAAGTTTAGGCAAGTCTTATGTGGGGGCCATGAGGCAACAGGGAAAAAATAGACAAACAATTCTGGGATGTATTTTGCTGCTTACCCTTTAATCCTCAAAAATGGCAGAACAAAACACCAAACTCAATTGGGTCCTCTGGCCAGCAGGGCACTGAGTCAACCTGGACTGAATTCACCACAGTCCCCTTTTTCTTAAAATGGTGGGGACTTCTAAGAGGAAATGTTTTCTGATTTGTCTGGATTTCCTCAAAGGCAAAGCCAGAAGTATTGAAAACTTTGCAAGGCCTTGGAACAAGCGCTAGGCACATCTTCTCTTGCCCCATCTCACTGCCAAACAAGTCCACTGTGTCCCTCACCCTTTGTCAGGAAAGGATGGAGAAAGAACTGAGCACCATTAATCAGAGTTGGAAAAAATCAGAGAAATCATTAAGGAAGTATTAACATTCTTTTATTGACTTTTAACTCCAAGCTTCTGAAAAACAAAAGTAATGTGCGGAGAGCACAGGCTTTTGAGACAACAGCCTGGGTTTAGAATTCTAGTTCTGCCACTTACTGGCTGTGTATTTTTCTGAGCAACTTACTCTCCCTCTCTGAGCCTCAGTTCTGTCACCTGGAGAGCTTGTCATATAGTACCTGTCACGTAGAGGTGAGGACTGAATGAGATAATGCAAGTACAGTGACCAGCAGCACATGGGATACATAATGAGCATTTAATTGGTCTTAGCTGTTGTTATTTGTACACGATGTCCGTTGTGGCTAGAATCCCCTTCCTCCTTGCCTTGTCTGCCTAGGAAGCTTCTGCTTACCCTTTAATACCCATCCTAAGGGCATCCTTCTTGGCGAGAATATCTTTGTCCCTTTCCCCTCCAAGTGGTCTCTAGTTCTCCCAGTTCTTGCTCACCTCTCTCACCTTTGCCCTTCTAACAGAGCAGTGATCTTGCTGTGTAGAAATCGTATGTTTGCTTGCTTGTCTTTCCCAATGAGTAATGCCAGCCAAGAGGACAGGCTCAGGTCTGTGCCCCAGGCCCAACAACACCTGCCCCACAAGAGGCTTAGGAAATGGCATCTCTATCCTTAGATTAGAAACACTCAGAGGTTGGGAAGGGGGACCTTCTAAGCCTGGGGGCTGCACAACTCCAAGGAGCGGCAGTCAGTCTGTGTTCTGTTCTTGTGTCAGAAGAGAGGCCCCTGGAACTGTGCAGCATGGTGGCTCTGGGCTTCTGCATGAGACAGAGTTGGTCTTAGTTCTTAATTCTCACGCTCTCTGGCTTCACATGGCAGAGTCAGGAGCTGGACCTGGTTTGCTTGACTCAAAGCCAGTTGTCTTTCCTCTTCACTTTGGACAGTGACAAGTGTCCTTCTAGTACAACATTCTCAGATTCTATGCCAAAAAATAGCCAATGAATATTACACTGTGACAGTTCTCTGTCTTAGCAGCCCAATAAGGGAGTCCCTCTCTCTGCTCAGGAATGATGATGTGCAGGGGTGTGTGTGGGCTGCTCAGCTTGTTTAACCTGCTGCCTCTTCTAAGGACAGAGGTGGGAGGTACCACGTTTCAGTGGAGCCTCATCCTCACGAAAGCTTTCTGATTTCACTCGGGAGTGTCAGCAGTGTGGCATGATCTGAGTGACTCCACTTTGCCTGCTTGTGTTAGCCCCAGCAGCACTTAATAAGCTCAGTGTTTCACACCGGAAAATACAAAAATCCCAGAACCATGCTAGCACCGAGTATTATGTTCATAGGATGAAAGGCTAGAAGACACATGGGCCAGTCCTGTGCCTGAAGCCCCCACGACAGCCCCATCAAGGGATTTTTTTCTGGTCTCTGCTTGTACATCCCCAGGTGCAAGCAGAGATGGAAGAAGTTCATGCAAGTCTACAAGTGCTACAAGTCTCTGGCCAGAAGAAACCTGTACAGGTAGAGTTGAGTTCTGCCTTGCTATTTTTCCAAGGAAGCTCTGAGGCTGTGAGTGGTTTGCCTGCAGTTGCCTGGAGCAACACTGGAAAAGCCTGGGTCCGAGGCCTGCCACTGGAAACCTGCTTTTGTCCTTGACCTCAGAGTGGAGTGGAAACAATCCTAAAGAAGGACTTAGGGTGGGTTCTTGCCTCAACTTGGCCACTAAAATTAAACGACACTTAATTCAATTTCATAAATATTAGCCAAAGGACGACTATGTGCTAGGCATTGTGCTTACATATAGTGTGGTCACGGGAAAATAATTTATCTTCTCTGAACCTGTGTCCTCATCTATTAAAAAAAAAGAACCCCTATGCATTGCTTGTTGTGTGGATTAAATGAGGAAGAAGGAAGCACACTGCTGTGTAAACTAAAGTGGTATGTACGTTGAGAAGTCATTGCCAAAGCTGGCTATCCCGTCTGTGCAGTCCACTCCACCTGGAGCAGACGTCCACCTTAGCACTGCCCTCCATTTGGAATTTGTTTACCCGTCTCTCCCCCGCCACACTCTCTAAAGGAGGAACTTGTAAGGTTCGTCTTTGATTACCCAGAGACCAACCCTGGGGTTGGCATATAAGTAGGTGCTCAACAGAGTATATAGTAAACAGAACATGTATGAAATCTGATTCTAAGACCCATGGAGATGTCAACCAGGTGGGCACCGGAGTACCAAAGGAGGGAAGGTCTTAGTGAGAGGATAGTGGAGGGTGAGCCGGGTGTCCCCTGTGGGTGGACAGGGTTCGGGTCACTGGGAAGGACAGGTTGGGACACTTCATGCAGTGTGAGTGGTTTGGGCAAAGGTCAGGAGATGAAAGTCTATATATAGAGAGATTATGTAGGGGGCATTGAGGGAGTGAACAGGTAAGACAGTGAGGAGAGATGACTGACAATATTAAGTGTAGCACTTACTATAGGCATTGCTCAAAAAGCTGTGTATGTAGGAGCTCATCAGACCCTTGCAACACCCACACAAGTTTGGTACTGTTATCTCCACTTTCAAGACAAGGAAACAGATGAAATAATTTGCCCTAGGTCACATAGCCCTGAAATGACAAATCTGGGATTTGACTCCAGGCACTGTGACTCCAGAATCTGTGCTCTTAAAGTAGGTTGAAGCCTGTCTTTAAAGAGCTAAGACCTTTGGACCTTTTCTTGTACTGTAGGAAAACTTTTGAGCGGGAAGGAGGTTTGAGAAGACATCATGGGTGGTAAAAATGTCTTCGCAGGTGGCAGAGTTCCCTCAGACGTAATGAACACCTTCGGTGCGGTAGGCACTGGCAATATGAAGAGCAAGACGGCCTTGCCCTTGCGAGCACGCCCTCCGGGGGTGGCATGGCGGGGGCTGCGGCTGGTCCACTCTGGCTTCTCTGAAGCCCACTGTGTGCCTCTCTTCCCAGACGGACAGTCACATCACATTGGTAGCTTGGAATCAACCGTGAGAGTATTTATACCATGGAAATTGGCCAGTGCTTCAAATTGGGGCTATCCCCACAGAGAGCTGGTTAAATATTGGGTTGGCCAAAAAATTCACTTGGTTTTTCCATGAGATGGCTCTAGTACTGCTTAGCTGTCTTTAGCTGTATTCTAAACCATTTTGTTAGATTGTATTGTGACAGCTGTCATATCAGTGCACATTTTTAAAAAAAATTATCAAAATTGGTGAATTTTTATGTAGTCATTTTAGTATTAAAGTAAGAAGAAAATAAGCAACATTTTTGGCATACTATGCTTTATTATTTAAAGAAAGGTTGAAATGCAAAAAAAAAGATTTGTACACTGTGTGGAGAAGGTGCCGTGACTGATAAAATGTGTCAAAAGTGGTTTTGTGCTAGATTTCTCATTGCATGATGCTCCACAGTTGAGTAGACCAGTTGAAGTTGACAGTGATCACATCGACACATTAATTGAGAACAACCAATGCTATTATACCACGTGGGAGATAGTGGACATACTCAAAATATCCCAATCAAGAAAGTTGCTGGTGAAAATGAAAAATCTGTTTTCTATCTTATGGAAAAAACCATTCAGACTTTTTGGCCAACCCAGTATTTACCAGCGCCACACTGCTTACGAACAACTGCATTATGATAAATGATCTCCCCAGGGACCAGGTGGCACAAAGGGGCTTGGGACTAAGTGGTGAGCCAAGGAGGCAAGGCTCAGGCAGTGGGGAAGGAGGAGCAAGTGTTTGCTATGAAAATAAAGCAGTGAAGGGAAGCCCGCCAGAGGTGTGGAGTGACGTGGCCTGTTCTATGGGTTGGTGAAAGGAAACTGGACAAGGAGCTATGACGTGAAAGATGTGGCAACCTATGATGTGCCAGATAAAAGGGTGTTTACTTAGCAAATCCAGTACTGGGTTTGTAAAGTGAACTAACTGGGGTTGGGAGGAAGTACCCATGTCCCAACATGATAACCTTTGTCTTTGGCTGGCAGGGTCCTTAGAGGGTTTCAAATGTGTCTCAATTAGGCCTTTACCCAACCAATCAGTAAAAGGGGAGAGACCTGGCATGAGAATAGTTTAGAACACTCTAGGGCTGCCAGCTACCTGGGAAATGTTGACAAAGGCTTTGCAGTGCCCTGTACTTTGGGGCAGGAGGGCCAGGGAAGTTGGCAGGAACTAGGACCAGGAGACAGGGCAGTGAGGCTCAGGTACACCTGGCTAGGCATGCACTTCCTGCCCAGAAGTCAGAGCCAGAGAGCAGGGCTCGGAGCTCATTTTGTCGTCCTTTGTGTCTTGTGGGGTCCTGGTTGCTATGAGTTGCTCAGCGATCCTCTGGCTTCCACAGACCGACTTTACTCCTCTGGGCCTCCCTGGTCCTTGTGTCTCAGACTGGGGTGAGCATGGCGCCAGACTATCTCTGCAGTTCTGCTTGGTGCCACACTGTCCTGAAGGTTCTGAAGGAGGCTGGGGTCACTGGGCTGTCTGGGCAGACAGAGCTGCCAGACCGAGGACCCTGTGGGCCTGGAAACAAGCCTGGCCCCTTCCCTGGGCCTATTATCAAGGTTGCCCTGCTCTGCGTACGGCCATGGGGCCCCGTTTCCATGCTAGCTGCCCTCATCAGCCCTGAGCCATCAGGCAGACACAAGCGATCAGCGTGAAGAGACTGCACAGTTCAGGGAAGGGATGGGCTGGCATGCTGGCCATGTGAGCAAAGAAATTGGTCTAAGGTAGACCTTGGCCAGTCTCCCACTCGCAGTACCCTGTCTTAAGGAGTAATTTGTAAGAGAGCTGAAAGTTTGGAATGAACAAAGGGGCAGTTATACAAATGCTAGTATTTGAGGCCACTGGGCCACTTACAAACCAGAGTGACCACGTCTTGGCCTCCAGGGCTGGGTTGGGCATTGAGGTGTGGGCGGGGACTATGCCACCTCTGCACAGGGAGCTCTGGCTCAAAGGCAGAACAGAGGGTCACAGAGCTTGCCCTTCATAAAAAGGCAAAGGGCTTCAGGTGGTCCTGAGGGGATGAGGTTACAGGGAGCAGTCAGCGGCAGCCTTCCCATCAGGTGTCTCAGCAAGGTGTCCCCTTGAGCACCCTGTCTCTTTGCAAGCCTGTGACCACGCCTAGGATAGGAACAGAGACACAAACTCACACATGCCTGGAACTGGCCTTCCCTTGGAACACAGCTCTCGGCTGTGCACAAGGCTAAGTGAACTGAGTCTGGCTGAGATCACTGATCAGCACTGGCCTCACTCAGGGCAGTGAGAGGCCAGCAAGCAACCCCACGTCCCTGCCTGCCAGCCTGCACCCAGCCCGACTCTCCGGTCCTCTGGGATGGTGCTGCCGGCACTGCTCAGTGTTCTCTGTTTTGCTAAGCAGATGGCTGCACTCACCCAAGTGAGACATGTGCGTAGCGACTGTGCTGTGGCACTGTGAAGGCTCACCTTCCCTCCATTACCCACTCTGCCTGCTCCTGGGCCTCTCCAGCCTACCCTCAAAGGCCCGGCTGCACCATCTGTTAATCCCTCAGAGAATGAACCTTTCCCTAAGTTCCTGCAGCTTTACATTGTGTAAACCTCTGGGTTTTTATTTGTGGCTGTTTCCGTCCTCAGGGCCCACATATCACACACTCCAGAAGGGCTTGCGAAAGTGGTAACCCCTGCCCAGAAGTCCATCATTACTACCTCCTGAAAGAGCAAGTATATACAGAGTTCCTGTGTGCCAGGCCTAGTTAAGAATTTTCACACGCAGCCCTGGCTGCTGTGGCTCAGTGGATTGAGCGCTGGCCTGCGAGCCAAAGGGTTGCCAGTTTGATTCCAAGTCAGGGCACATGCATGCGTTTCCAGCCAGGTCCCGAGTAGGGAGTATGTGAGAGGCAACCACACATTAATGTTTCTCTCCCTCTCTCCCTCCCTTCCATTCTGTCTGAAAATTAATAAATCTTAAAAAAATTTTCTTCACATGCATTTCATTTAAGCTGCGTAAACCTGGGAGGGGTGGTCATTATCTGATGAGGAAACAAATCAGAAAGGACCAGTGACTTGTCTAAGGTTATGCAGCAGTGACGAAGCCAGAATTCAAATCCAGGTGTCCAAGGCCTGGGTTTTTTGTCTTATAAGCTGACACAAAATAATAACAACTATTCGTCATTTATATGGTATTGTCACATACATTATACCATTTGATCCTCACAACAGCCCTGTGAGGTAGGTAGGGTTATGTATTACTGTTATGCCCATTTCACAGATGAAGAAACAGAAGTGGCTCAGTGAAGTGAGTGACTTGCATAAAGTCACACAGCACATTAGTAGCTTCATAGGTCCTTTCTCTAAAGTCAAGCTGCTGGAATTAAGAAGCACCAAAAAGAGGGGAGAAAAAGAATTTTCTGGAGAGGAGAAAAGGGCAGTGGTAATTTATGAGATTCTTCCTTAAACTGTTTTGTTGCGGTCATAGCTTCTATTTGAGTACCACTGGCCTGGTGGCCTGGGGCAGCTGTCACTCCTGGGTCCCACTGTAGGAGGACAAGGCCTGTATTCCCTAAGGGATGTGGCCTTGCCCACGGCCCGGTGCACAGGCTCCCTACTCACAGAGCAGAGCTCTGGGAAGCCCCTTCCTCAGCCCGTCTCTCCTGGGCCCCTGTGCGGCGGCCTTCCTGGCTTTGTCTGAGGGCTCCTACCCGGTGGGAAAGCTGTGGGGCTCCCAAGGCCACACTCACTCTAGGGGTGAATCATAATGTGCAGTTTTGAAGCCTGCACTGCTCATCACCCCCTGGGAAGTAGTGGCTTGGGGCGTCTTGCCCTGGATCTCACACCAAGGAGGTCCGTGGTTTGGTTATAACCAGGAACGTACTACAGGGGAAGGCCACTGCCTTCAGAACAGTGGCTTAGGGGCTGGACGCTCAGTCCAAGGGCAGTGTTATGGTTCAGACCACTCAGGCTCCTCACTGCACACCGTATTCCAAGGCTCTGGCCTGGAAGCACTTCCTCAGGGGCAGCAAATCTCCATCCTCCAATAGAAGATGGTCACAGGGTATCTGGAGTTGTGGCTGGTGAGATAGGTGGGTAAATGGGGTCACAAGGGAGGCAAAGTCCTAACAGAATCGAGTTGACGTACAGGGGATAGCAGAGGGCCAACCTTGGTTCTGAAGACAGAGCCCAATAATATTTTCAGAACGAGTGCCTCTCAAGGTGACTATTTTGAAAGAGAAATACATATTTGGGTGAGAATTAGACTAGAAAACAGAACCAAGACCAGAAAATGGGAGTAGAAGGACAGTTTGCCTCGCTATAAGAACTTGCTAACGGCCAGTACCAGTCGACCATGGCGAGGGCTGCTTCAGGGCTGATGCTATTCCCACCACTGGAGGTACGCCAAGCGGGGAGAGGTGATAGCTTGGAGGTGCTGGGGAGGGAGACTCATCCCCAAATGTGCTGTGGTGTGCTGGGGTGAGCGAGGACTACGCAACTGTTGAATTACTTTTCAACCTGGAGAGTTCATAATATATTTGTTTAAAATGACTTGTTTCAATGATACCTTAAATTCTTGGGGAAAGGATTACAAAAGTTAGGCCCAGTATGAGGTGCCTTTCATGGCACTGACTCCAGCTTTTCAAGCCTTCACAGGGACAGCAGCCCATTTCTGAGGCCAAAAATCCTCAAATGCTTAGAGTTGACCCAGTCAAAAGGGACGTCTCCACCTTCGACCCCTGCTTGCACACTTACTCCTTTAGACCATGCCGCAGCTCAGATCTCTCCGCCCGCAGGGGCAAGAGAGCTGTGAGAACATAATGCTTTTCCAAGCCAGTCAAACATGGTTGCCCTTGGGCAAACATGTCCAAGGTCCCGGTTCCTCCCGGACAGAGAGCAGGGGTGATGAGGATCCACGGGTACTTTCCATCCTGGGAAACGGAAGGGAGCATCTTGTTCTCACCTCGTCCCCTCCATCAGGGGCTCTGATTCAGATGGGCAAGTGAGGCGCTGCCTAGTGGTACAGACAGAGCTGGAGTCCATGACAGAAATGCTGCTCCTATGTCTAGCCAGTGAGCCCTCTGGTGGCCTCCTCAGGAGGACAGACTCTCCACCTGTCGTAACAGACTGCCATCTCCAGCTCAAAATGGCAAGAAAAAAGGAGGATCTGTTGAGGACACATGGATTCCTACAGGTGGACTGCATCATGGGGGGAATCAAGTCCTGCTACACGATTAATAGAGATTAGCAGAGTGCCCTGCCTCACACCACTGGTGACACGCTAAGATCTTGGCTGATGTGGAGCTTCTTGGGAGCCTCTCTCCAATGTGGCTTGGGGTCCTTTTACCTGTATCGTATTAATCGAATAATTTTATTGTTCATAAAATCCAGAGCATGTGGGTGAGAAGAATCAATGCAGAAGCCATCACTTAGAGCGATTTTCAGCACCTCCTCCACAAAGACCTGGAAGCTGTTGATCTGCTTGTTGGCTGGTACTACCCAGAGCCTCTTGAGGTTCTGCTTGGTGTACTCCTCCTCTGGGAGGCCCTCCACATTGGCCACCCAGTCCAGAGTCAGGTGGTTGGGGTCCTGCAAGTGGCTGGTGATGGAGGAGAGATTGCCATTGGAGCAGTAGAAGAGCTTGGAGCCCAGAAGCTTGAGGAAGAGGCAGGAGGTGCTGAAGATGTTGGCATTGAAGACCTCCATGCTGGAGGAGGAGAGGCTGTAGATCTGGGGTGCCTCACGCACGGTGAAGTGGACCGTCTGCACACGCTGGTTCAGTGTGATGTTCAGCATGGCATTCTTCTCCGCCTTAGAGAGCTCCACCTCCTTCTCCTGTAGTGCCTCAATCAGGGGCTGCACCTGGTAGAAGTCAGCCTCCCTGCGGAGCAGGCCCATCTCCTGGAAGTCCTCAGGTAAGTCCAGGTGAGAGGTCCGTAGAAAATTGAGGATGTAGCGGAACACTTTGCCATCACGGTCAATGAAGCAGTTGCCTTGGCTGTCCCTCTTGGTCGGCATCTTCCCACTGAACATGGCACCTAGCATGGAGTCGGGGAAGCTGGTCAAAGTTGCTAATGAGGTTGTGTAGAGCTTTCCCCCAACATTTAGTGTGATGGGGTCGGACATTGCAGGAGGCTGGGGTGCTGGGAAGCGGTCCTAGAGAAGGAGAAAAGTTAGAGATGACCGTCACTCAACCATAGCTGGCGCCTTAGTCTGTTGGAGTTGCTACAGCAGAATACCATAGACTGGACATTTGTTTCAGTCTGTGAACTGAATAACATTTGTTTCTCACAGTTCTGGAGACTGGATGTCAGAGATCGAGCTGTGGGCATGATAGAGGCTGTCTTCATTCTGTGTCCTCATGGGGCAGAAGGGGCAAGAGAGCTCCCAGGAGTCTGTCTTGTAAGGGCACTAATCCTGTTCTCTACTCTCATGACCTAATCACCTTCCAAAGGTCCTACTTTTTTATACTATCACATTGGAGGTTAGGATTTCAATATGAGTTTTTTGGGACACAGACATTCAGTCCCTAAGATCTGGGTAGGCATAGTTCTCAACTCCTTATTGTAGATCATGTCTACAGTCCTTGAGGTCGAAATGAATTAATACTTAATGAACAAATGGATGGGTTATAACTGCCACACTGTTGAAAACATATTATGTTCCCTAGGGAGTTAAAACAAAAAGAAGGCACATCAAAATTACAACTAAACTATAGAACAACCACCATTCAGAACCACAGGAAATCTGGCTGAATGGAAGTGCTCCAACTAGGGAATTAAAAAAGCAGCCACACTGAGACTAGCAGAAGGGGCAGAGGTGTGGAATGGGTTGGTTCCACACCCAGGTGTGGCAGATAAAAATTGGGGGGATATCTTGGTTTGCAAAGGTCACCCCTGAGGAGCAAGGGGTCCAAGCCCCACACCAGGCCCCCCAGAGTAGGGTTTCAGTGCCAGAAAGAGAAGTCCCAATAACTTCTGGCTCTAAAACCCAGCAAGGATTGAGGCTGAGGGAGATGGAGGGATTCTGGAGCCCCTGGAAGTTCCTTTTAAAGGGCCAGTACATAGACTTAACTCAGATCCACTCCCTCTGAGCCCCAGCACTGACACAGCAGCTTGAAAGGCACCAGAAACATAAGGGGAAAAACTGTGTTGTCCTGTATCAGGGTGAGAGCTGGGGGTTGGAAGGAAGATTTCTCCCAGACAGAAGTGCTAGCAGAGGCCACTGTTCTTTTGATGAGCCCTCCATCTACAGAGCCCACATATAGGTGCCATATATGAGTCTCCCTCAATCTGGCTCACACCATTTGCCCTGCCCTGGTGATTCCATGAGGCCGTGCCCCATGCAACCTTTGGGCCCACCCAAGGTATTTCCGGTGGCTTTTCCATACCATATCCCATCCTGTTTCATCCTTCAGATTTTCCTAACATCTCTCAAACAAGCAGCTTCTGTTCTCAGCAAGACACATACCTCTTGTTAAGTGGCCCCAAGCCCACACTAGCAGCAACCAGCCTTGGTTCACAGCTTGGCCTTGCCCGGGCACCTGCAAGCCCAGCACCAGTAGCAGCCATCTGCAGATCACGTTGTAGCTCATGGTGGATGGCAGCAAACAGAACACAGACAGTGGCTAACTTTGGCCTGCACCTTCGAGGAGGCCCCAGAGCCAGCACACCCAGTGGACAGCATCAGATCACGGTGAAACACCACCACCCAAACACCTCCACAAGCGACAGTCTTGAGGGGTGGGTTCAGTGGGCACCAGAGCGCCACTGAAGTAAGTCCTGCTCTGTGGGATGGGCCTAAGCACAGCTGATCCTCCACAGTGGTTGGAGGTCAGTGTTTGCAGCCAGTTCTTGCAGCTGATCAGCCTGTGGGTAAATCCCTCCCACTGTAGTACCAACAGCAATCAAGGCTCCACAAGAGGAGGGTGTACAAAGCCCACATGGGGATACACCTTGAGTGCCCGGCTTGTGTGATTGGGGAGGCTGTGCCTCTGGACCCTACAAAACACCTGCAACATTAGACCATTCTCCCAAGCCTGGGAGACATAGCAGCTCTACCTAATAATACACAGAAACCAACACAAGGAACCTGCCGAATGAAGAGACAAATAAACATGGCTCCTAATGTTTAAATGAAAGAACAGAACAAAACTCCAGAAAAAGAACTAAACAAAATGGAGACAAGCAACCTATTAGATCCAGAGTTCAAAATTGGTTATAAGGATGCTCAATGAACTTAGGGGAAGAGCAGATGAACTTAGTGAGAACTTCGAAACAGAGATAGAAAACAAAAACAGAGATAGAAAACATTAGAAAAAGCTGATCAGAAATGAAGAATACATTAACTGAAATGAAGAACACATTATAGGGAATTAACAGTGGAGTAGATGAAGCTGATAATCAAATCAGATTTGGAAGATAAGGAAGCAAAAAAAAAAAATCCCCAATTAGAACAGCAAATAGAGAAAAGATTAAAAAAATTAGGATAGTGTAAAGAGCCTCTGGGACACCTTCACGTATACCAACATTCACATCATGGGGTGCTGGAAGGAAAAGAGAGAGAGCAAGAAATTGAAAACCTATTTGAAACAATGACAAAACTTCCCTAACTTGGTGAAGGAAATAGACATGCAAGTCCAGGAAGTGCAGAGAATTCCAAACAAGTGAATCCAAAGAGGCCCACACCAAGACACATCATAATTAAAATGCAAAAGCTTAAAGACAGAGAATCTTAAGTGTAACAAGAGAAAAGCAGTTACCTATAAGGGCGCTCCCATAAGACTGTCAGCTGATTTCTCAACAGAAACTTTGTAGGTCAGAAGGGATTTGAGGAAATATTCAAAATGATGAAAAGCAAGGAACTACAACCTACATTATTGTACCCAGAAAAGCTATCATTTGGAATCAAAGGACAAATAAAGAGCTTCCCAAACAAGAAAAAGTGAAAGGAGTTCATCACCACAAAACCAGTATTACATGAAATGTTAAAGGCTTTACTAGAAGAAGAGGAAGAAGATGAAAACTGTTATAAACAATAAAATGGCAATAAATACATGTCTATCAACAATTGAATCTAAAAAACAAATCAACAAGCAGAACAGAAGCTGACTCATAAATCCGGAGAACATTTTAATGGTTGCTAGATGGGAAGGGTTTGGAGGCATGGGTGAAAAAGGTGAGGGGATTAAGAAGTACAAATTGGTAGTTACAGAATAGTCATGGGAATGTAAAGTAATATTCGAATAACTATGTTGTCAGATGGGTGTGAGATTTATCAGGATGATCACTTAGTAAACTATGTAATGTTTAATCCCTGGGTTACACACTTGAAACTAACATAACAATGCATATCAACTACAATTGAAAAATTAAAAAATGACTTAAATAAAGAAAAAAATGAAGCCTGGGTCCCACCTTCCAGCAATTGTTTTAATTGGTCAGGAGTGTTACTCAGCATTAGTATTTTTTAAAAAGTGCCCTCAGTAATTCTAAATGTTAAGACAGAACACCACTGGTCTAAGGAAAGAGAGAAAACATGCCTGGACTGAATGCTATGCACCTACTCTTACATTTGTACACATAATAGTTACATATCTTTAGTCACAGACAATACCACCATCCATCTTCTGCAGATGAGAAAAATTGTGCCTGGATTTATTCCCCACACTCAGAGAGGTGAAGGAGTGTGCCAGGATTCAAAGCCAGGTTGCTTTATATGAGACAGAAAACTGTAAATGCTTACTAGCCACAGACTGGTACACCCTTAACTACCTAACAAATGCTATGAGATTTGTACTCCAGGCCTAGTGCTCCTTCTGCTGTACCATTGTTGCCTCCTTACTTAATTCTTTTTCTGTCTCAAAAAAACTTACAACAAATGGCTGTGATTAGTGCCATTTCCATCTATCTACTGGGCCCCCAATGGTTCACTCAGCCCTTTGGACTCTGTATGACACTGTTTTCTGGACTCTCATCTTCCTGTAACAGCCTGCCTTGCCATGAAGATGCTCTTGGCTCCTGGTGGCCTGTCATTTCCTGTCATGATGGCACCTCAGCCTCCTCTGAAGCTTTCGTGGAGGTCAGTGCCAATGTGGAGTCTGCCACTGAGCACCCTTCCCGAGGGCTCTCACTGAGCCTCCCTAGCCCACTAATCTCACAGCCTTTAGCATCTCCTTCAACTTGAACTCTTGCATTCTACACTTTCTCTTTAAGATTTTAGAAAGCAGGGGATGTGCCATCTCTGCTTCCAACGTGATGCTTCCTCAAGAGCCAATCTATGGGACAGATTCAGCAGTCTTTTCCAGATGCTGGGTACGGGTGGTGCAGAGAGGAATTGATCCCAGTGCTGACCTTGAGGAGAGCCCAGGCTTGTGAGAGAGGCTGAGATAAGAGGCAGTGAGGGTGCAGTGACAGGGAAGATGTACCAGGCGCTGTGGGAGTAGGTCAGGAATGAATCCTTGGCATGCTCACTGTCCAGAGGAAAACAGAGGTTGGGGGTGCGGGGACTTCTGCAAGGGTGGCAAGTGTGTCAGAGTATTCCTGATCACAAGTCTGCCTTCTGAGGAGGCTGCACCGAGACCCCATTATTCCTGGGGATAGAGACCCGCCACCCCGAGGATTGAGGTGATGCTTGGCTGCCCTACCCAGCTGTCTGGGGAGGGGGTCGGGTCCCCTCATGATTGCATCCCTGGCTAATGGGGCATTTTGATACAGCAGAAAGGGCTTAACCATCTGGAGTGTCTGCAGAGAAACAAGCTGATGATTCAGTTGTAAACGCAGCAGCAGCAGCAGCAGCCTGAAGCAGATGGGCTGCAAGACAGTGGGGAGAGCTAACAGAGAGGTGGGGTGAGGAAGGGACAGCTGCTGTGTGCAGACCTGAAATGGGGGAGAATGCGTCATCTTGGGCCAGAGTCTGGCCAATTCTTTCCAGAGGGCCCAGGCAGCAGTCCTGGAATAGGCCATCCCCTTCCTTATTCCAGAACCCCCTTTTCTTTCCAGATAGTAATTTGCATATTCTCGTTTTCACTCTCTCTCCCCTTGACTTAAGGCCCAGGCTCTGTGAAGTGGCTCAGCTCCATGGAAAGAACAGACTCAGGCGTCAGAGGCTGGGCCGTTTTTGCTGACAGTTCTGTGGCCCACAGACCCCCTATCTCT